CAAAAGAGACATAGAGTCACTGAAGCAAATCCAGAGAATGTCATGGACATGCTCTGAGGGCTGTAGCTCCTTTTCTCTGGAGACAGGCTAGGAGAGCTGGGGGTGTCCAAACTGAACAAAAGACGGCTCTGTGGAGACTTCAGAGGCCCTTCCAGTGCCTAAAAGGGCTCCAAGACAGCTGGAGAAGGCCTTTGAACAGGGGTCTGGAGTAATAAATGAAGGGGGAATGGCTTCAAACTGCAAGAGGGCAGGGTTAGATGGGATATTGGGAAGAAATTCTTCCCTTTGAGGGTGGAGGCCCTGGCACAGGTCTAGAGAAGCTGTGACTGCCCCATCCCTGAAGTGTTCAAGGCCAGGTTGGATGTGGCTTGGAGCAACCTGGTCTATTGGAAGGTGTCCCTGCCTGTGGCAGTGGGGTATGAAATGTTAACGAACTTGAAAAAGTCCTTTTCAACCCAAACGCTTCCATGATTTTATGACTATGTGGGTCTGACTGTCCTCATCCCTGGGGAGATGTCCATGGTCTGGGGGAGGAAGTGGCACACCCACACTCCAGAGACAGGGAGTAAATGGGATGAAGAAAAAGTTGCATGGTTTTGCACTGCCTGAGGGTGGGGAGGAGCTGGCCATCTCCACGGGAGCCTTTCCACAGGGTTTTCCTGTCAGGATCTGCTCTGTCCCTCAGGTGGAGCGGCGTGTGGTGAACCAGCTGGCAGCTGCCTACGAGCAGGACCTGCTGCCACGGGGCTGCACCCTCAGGATCATCGTGGAGGACTCCAACAAGCAACTGCTGAAAACCACAGAGGGGTCTTCCTCCAGCACAGAGAAATCCAAGGCTCCAACCCTGCGGCTGGAGATCGTAGAGAAGGACAGCAAGGCCCGAAAACTGGAGATCCAGGCACCGCTGAACCCTGAAAACATCACTTATTTCTTGTAGGCAGCACTGGGCGCTCACAGTGACGATAAAATACCCCAGGAGTTGGAGTGAGCTGTCGGAGAGGGCGGAGCCACAGACCTGCCACTGCTGGGGATGGACAGAGGCACGGACACAGATACGGGCAGGAGCTGCCCCAGGATGGGCATGAAGGGCTCTAGGGATGCAGCTGTGGGTGACAAGGTGCCCTGGTGCCATTCAGGGATGGGCCAGTGGATGGTCCTGGGGTTTCACAGGGTGTTGGAGTGTTTTAAGGAAGGGGGAAGCAAATTGTGGACCATGCGGGAGCTGGGATGAATTTGTCGTTCCCGTGGGAGGGGGCTTGCTGGGTTAGCTGCACTGGCAAGGTGGGGAATGGGAACTGAGTGTGAGTATAAAAGGCACCAAGCACTTGTTCTGTATTGTCCCTGTTTCTTTATGGCAATAAACATGCTATGCGCATCCAGCCCTTTGTGTCCCAGAACGAGCAGCTGTTGAGACCACCACCCTCATCCCAGGGCACTCCCGGGTCTCCTGCTCATCACTAGGAGCCAGGAATGTCACCAAGAGTGGGGAACACCACTGGGAGCTGGGACCCACTGTCTCATCTCCCCAGCCCAGCCAGGTGACATCTTGGTGCAAACCCCTTGTTGAATCTTTTTCTCATGACCTTCTTCCAGGAAATACTTAATATCTCAGGTGGAACTGATCTGTCCAAGTTGTCCGCATGGGGACACAGAGGCTGTGCCCTGAAGGGGGCTCCTTCAGGGAGCTGCTCATGGTAGAATAGGAGACATGGTCACTACTGGGGCCACCCCACACATGAGTTTTGAAGAGTAGAACCTGAAATACCTATGGAAATCGAACCCTCCCAGCATTAATGAGCCCCAAGTCACTGTCTCTTGGGATTTAGACAGAATCCCCATCCCACTGTTACCCCCTACCCTGATGTCCCCAGGGGGATTTACTTCTGGTGCTGGTTCTTGTCTTCAGGGATACAAGGAGGTTTGGTGGGTGATTCCTTGAACCCCCTTCCTATCCCAGTAGCTTTTTCCTGGCTTAATGCCAAGCTGGAATGGGATCCCATCCCTGGAGGGTTTGGGAGTGTCACCAGGCTCTGCTGGAGCCTCCCAAGGTCAGATTCACTTCCACAGGTGCACATAGGTGTGCACTGAGGTCTGCACTGAGGTCTGCACATGTGTGCATGAAAGCACAGAGGTGTAACATGAACGTGTGGGTGTGCACCTCTGAGCACAGCTGTTCACTGGGCTGTGCCCTTGGGTGTGTGCTCAGGTGTCCACAGGGCTACAGGTGGCCATGCTGTGCTGTGCCACCAGACTATGCCATGCCATATTGTGCCATGTCCTGCTGTGCCAGGTCACACTGTGTCACGCCAAGTCACATCATCCTACACCATGCCATTCCATTCCACACTGTGCCACCATACCAAGCTGTGCCAGCCCCATGGATCATAATCCCACAGGCAGGAGCCAGGGCCACATGGACCCTCCTCAGCCCTTTGAGGTGGTTTTCTTGGTGCCAGCACAGGTAAATTGGCTTCCACTGCCAGGAAGAGTGCCTGGGAGCATGGGATCTGGAGGAAGAATCCTCTTTGGCTGTGCCAGACATTCAGTTCCCCGCATCTGAACCTCATGCTGGCACCTGATCCAGTCATGGCCAAAGGTGGCCAGTCAGGCCACTAGCATAGGGGCTCAGGACACCCTGGAGCACCCTGGCTTTGTCCCCAGGAACAATGTAGCAGTGGAGAGAGGCCTCCAGCACCACCGAGAGCAGCTGTGGGGCTGGGGTACTCACCAGGACCCCCTGACACATAGCCTGGGGGGCTCCATGGAGCAATGAAGGCTAGAGAGTGTGGGAGATACGGCAATGATGAGGTGGGTGCTATCATCCCAACCAAGCTGGGGCTAGAGCTGGGGGAGTCTGGAGTGTGATCAGAGGGGATCCTGCAGAGGAATCCCATTCAAGGAGTCCCCCATCAGGACAGTCACTTTGGAGCCATTCTATCATAAGGGATCCCATTGGAGAGGGTCCCATCAGCCTCCCCGACCAGCTCTGGAGGGACCCCAGTCCACCCACGCACATGGACATAGCTCCAAGCCTACAGGCAGCTCCCAGCACAAAATGGGATGGAGTGATGGGGGATCCTATCCCCATCTCCCCCACTGTGCCCAGCCCTCCTTGCTGCCAATGCTACTCGTTTTGGGGGCAGGGAATGTCACCTCCGCCCCCATTAGGTGGCTGCGCCGCTGCCAGCACCCATCTCCCTTCACCACAGTCCGCAGGGGTCACCCACATCATCCCGGGGAGCCGCGGGGACGCAGGACAGCTCCCCGGCTCTATCCCCAAGCTGCGCCCCATCCCACTCCCCTCCATGTTCCCCTCCCTCTGCTCTCCCCCTACATCTCCCTCCTCCTCCTCGCCCTCCCGGCTCTCCCCGGCTCTGGGTAGCACCAGCAGCTCCTTGCGTGGCAGATTGCTGCCTAATTAGTTTAGAGGGAAAACTTAATTGAATTAACTTTTCACAGCTCCAGCAGCCCGACAGTGGGGCCTCGCTCCGCGCCAGCCCCACGCCCTGATCGAATTAACTTGTTTAGCAACCTGCCCGCTTCGGCCGCGCAGCTGGGGTGGGCGCGGGGGGGGGGGGGGCACCTCCAGCACCCACCGGGGGCCCGGGGGCTCGGGCGGGGGCGCGGAGACAGAGATGGCCAGCCGGGGCCAGTGGGGGCTGTTCCCAGGGAACGGAGTCCAGGAGGGAGCAGGACCCTTTGTGGCTTGAAATGTGGGGCAGAATGCAGGATGGGCATAGGGCAGGAGAGATGGCAGGACATGGGCCAAGAGACAGGGCGGGAGATGGGGCAAAATGTGGGGCAGGATACGAGACCAGATATGGGGCGAGACACAGGGCAGGATGCACGGCAGGAAATGGGGAAGGATACAGGTTAGGACAGGAGATGGGACAAGAATATCGGGGAGAAGGTGGGACAGGATGCGGGGCTGAATACAGGGGAGGACATGGGGCAGGACAGGTTCGAACCGATCCCACAGGACCCAGATAGAGTCCGTTCTTCCCCCACCCCCTCGGTCCCCTGGGAGACCCAAAGCCCTTCATTGGGAACAATTAGACTTTTAAATCCTCTTTAGTGAAAGTGTTTGTCTTGAAAATGTCCCAAAATCCCGCCAAATCTTCCCCAAATCCTCCCGCATCCCCCTGCCCACATCCCCCTCTGGTGCCGCTGAAAGGGGCGAAAGCCTTTGCCTTGGTCCCCGCAGGGGGTTAGGGGGATGGAGTGCTTTGAAATTCATCCGGGCTGAAAACTGAGGAGGGGGATTGCAAAGGCCAGAGCCCCCCGAGGAGAGAGGGGTGGGACTGAGCACCCCTCCAAAGACGCCTGCTTCCCCTATGCACCCGGGGACGGTGGATGGCACCCAGGGATGGGGTGTGATGGTGTTGCTGCCCTCCTGGCCCTGGGATGCTCAGCCCCAGAGGCATTGCATGGCATGGCACGGCACGGCACGGCATGGCATGGAATGGCGACAGGGAGGAAGATGGGGATGAGGATGGACACGGACATGGGATGGAATGGGATGGGGGACAGGGACAGGACCGAGGACGGGGATGGGATGGGGACAGGGACAGGACCTGGATGGGATGGCGGTGAGGACAGGTATGATACAGAAGGATGGGTAGACGGGGGCAAGGTCCAGCGTTGGTCCCAGAGCGGGCCCGCCGAGGGCTACTCCGGGGAGTGCCCGGGGGCCGCTCCCCCCCCCACCCCTCGCCCCGAAGTAGCGGCTGCCGGAGCCGGCCCGAGGTGGGGGTGCGTGCGCCCACGAAGGGTTAAGGGGGGCGGGGGGCTGAGGGGAGGGGGGTGTCGGCTCCGCCCGCTCCCGCCGTCCCCGGGAGATATTGTCATGCAAAAGCCCCCGGCGAGCGCAGCCTTTGTCCGCGCTCCCCCCGCCGGTATATTAACGGGCCGGGGCGGCGGCGGCGGGGGCGGGCGGGGGCCCGGCGGGCAGGAGGCGGCGGGGACGGGCGGGCGGCAGCCGGGGCCGCACCGGGCTCGCCATGGACTACTCCTACCTCAACTCCTACGAGTCCTGCGTGGCCGCCATGGAGGCGAGCTACGAGTTCAGCCCCTGCAGCCAGGCGGGCTCCTTCCAGTACAGCCCCATGCGGGGGGGATTCGGGCCTGCGCCCGCCTGCGCACCCCTCGCCTCCGCCAGCTGTGCCCTGGGCGCCCTCCGCGACCACCAGCCCTCGCCCTACTCGGCAGGTAAGGGAGAGGGACCCGGCGGGAGCCACCAGGGACACCCCCCGAGCAGCCCCTGGACGGGCGTGAGAAAGCGGCCGCGCCGTCGGGGCTGGCAGGGATCGGACCTAGTGGGGGACCGGGACCGCCTGGACTCGGGACCGGCGGCTGCCGGTGATGTCAGGATTCGGTGCCATCGGTTGCCGGAGCCGTCGGTCTCCTGTACCGTCTGTGCTCGATGCCGTCGATGCCCGATACTGTCAGTTCCCGGAGCCGCCGCTGCCCTGTACTGTCAGGATTCGATGCCGACGGTGCCCATTACTGCCAGTTCCCCGTAGCGCCGGTGCCCGATCCCACAATTCCCGGAACCGTTGCTGTCCAGTACCGTCAGTGCTCGATGCTGTCGGCGCCCGGCACCATCGGTTCCCGGTGCTGACAGTGCCCGTTATTGCCTGGTACCTGGTGCCGCTGGTGCCCGGCACTGTCAGGATTGGTAACCATCGGTTCCAGGTACCGCTGGCGACCGGTACCATGGGTTCCCGGTGACCCCAGTGCCCAACACCGTTAGTGCTCGATGCCGCCGGTTCCGGGAGCCGTCCGTTCCCGGTCCCGCCGGTGCCCGTTCCTGCAACGTCAGTGCACGCTGCCACTAGTGCCCGGTGCTGCCCGTTCCCGTTGCCGCCGGTGCTCGACATTGTCAGGTTCGATGCCGTCGGTAACGGGTGCTGTCGCTCCTCGGTGCCGTCAGTTCCCCGTGACATCGATTGCCGGTGCTACCGACGCCGGGCACTGTCGGTGCTAGGTCCCGCCGGTTCCAGGTGCTGCCGGTGCCCAAAGCCCAGGCTGGCCCTGCCTGGCTCGGTTCTCTACCGCTCCCCCCGTCCTGGCTCTCCCCGCTCGCGGCCGCCGGTGGGGACGAATCCCCCCAAGCACGGCCGCTGATCCCTGGGGATCCCTGGAGCTGTGGCGGCCCCAGAACGGGGCTGGGGAAGGTCCTTGCCGCTGGAACCCCACTCCCCGCTCCGCATTCGTTGCCACCGCGGAGGCACTGCCTGTGTTTGCGCCGACAACGAAGGAGCTGCCGATTGGTACCGGTCGCCCCATCCGCACCGGCACCGCATTGTCCCCCCAGCCCCGTTCCTGCCCCGAGGCCCCGCGAACGAACGAACGAACGAACGGGGCCGGGGGCGCAGCGGGGACAGCGATCCAGCCCTGCCCTCGTCCTTCCCGCCCTGCCCGGTTCATCCTGCTCGGTCCTCCGTCCCCTGATTCATCGTGCTCGGTCCACCCCCTCTCAGTTCACCCCAGCCCAATTCGTCCTTCCTGGTTCATCTATCCTTTGCCAATTCCTCTGCCCAGTGCATCCCCTGCCCGTTTATGTATTCTCCGTCTATTTCTTCCTAGGCGATCCTTTTCCAATCCTTCCTTGCCTCGTTCTTCCCTTCCCGGTTCACTCCTACCCAATTCATCCTTCCCGGTTCATTTATCCCTGCCCAGTGTCCCCTGCCCGGTCCATCCCTGCCCGGTCCATCCCTGCCTAGCGTCTCATGCCTGGTGTATTCCTTCTCGGTCCATCCCTTCCTGGTCCATCCCTGCCTGATGCCCCCTGCCTAGGTGTCCTCCAGTGTGCCCCTCCTGCTGTACCAGCCGTACTGACTCCCCGTTTCCCTCCCAGTTCCCTACAAATTCTTCTCGGACCCGTCGGGGATCAACGAGAAGCGGAAGCAGCGGCGGATCCGGACAACATTCACCAGCTCGCAGCTGAAGGAGCTGGAGAGGGTCTTTGCCGAGACCCACTATCCCGACATCTACACCCGCGAGGAGCTGGCCCTCAAGATCGACCTCACCGAGGCCCGGGTGCAGGTCAGCTCCGGGGAGGAAGGAGGGGGCTGGGGGGCTGGGGATGAGGGTGGATGGCTCTAGTCCCAGCGGAGCAGGGACCCTGACCGTGGGACGCTGTTGCTCCCAATGGTCCCCGCATTGGGAGGGGCGACAGGAAGGGGCAGCCTTGGCGCTACCGCAGCCAGTGACACACTGTTGTCACAGCCGTGCTCTGCTGGGAGCTCGGGGGGACAGCCTGGCATTGGTTCATGCCACAGCACCGGCACTGTCATCAATGATTTAGTCCAGTCCCAAACACATTGAGGTTAGTGAGTGTCCAAGGAGGACAGAGTGGCCCTTTGTGGGTGCAGATGTCCCCTGTTAGATTTCTTCTGGGGGATGCAGAACCCCCGTGTGGCTACAGATCCTCCTTTGTGAGTACAGACACCCTGTGTCAATGCAGAACCCTCTTTGTGGGGTCCTTCTGTGTGGGGTCCCCCCGTGTCCCCGCTATGTGGCTTCAGCAACCCCTCGGTGAGTGCGGACACCCCCTTTGTCAGAACATCTGTCCCCATAGGAATGTAGGGACACACAGGAGTGGGGGTCCTGCTCCCTCCCTCCCGGGGGAATGGTGAGTGAAGTGACCCCGCTGTTGGCACCGTGGGGAGCTGGGGGGTTCCAGGCTGTGGGGTGAGCTCTGACTGCACAAGGTGCAGCTGTGGCTGCAGTGTGACAGTGTCCCCTCCCCATTTCCCTCCACTTCCAACACCGGAGCACACGCCCGGCGTCGACCTCATAAATCCACATTATTGTGGATACATGGATCCCTCTGGTGTAGCGGAATACATTTCCCCCGAGGGAGCGGAGGATTGTGAGGCTCACCCCGGAGCCTGGGAGGGCTGCCTGCACCCCCGGGCTCCCCATACCCTCAGGGACCGTGGCAAGGGGTGCTCCCGTACCCTCCATCCCCTCCAGGTGTGGTTCCAGAACCGTCGAGCCAAATTCCGCAAGCAGGAGCGTGCGGCCAATGCCAAAGGTGCCAGCGGCACCAGCAGCACCGGGAAGAAGTCGGAGCCGCGCTCCTCCTCCGAAGACGACGAATCCAAGGAATCCAACTGCAGCCCGACCCCAGACAGCACGGCATCCCTGCCCGCCGCTGCCATCGGCAGCCCCGGCGGCAGCCTGAGCCCCAGCCCCGGCGCAGGGGCACCCCTGGGACCCGGCCATGCCCCCCAGCCCCTCAAGGCACCCCTCTGGGCAGGGGTGGGGGGCGGCAGCGGTGCCCCCAACACGGCCGAGCTGCTGAAGGCCTGGCAGCCCACCGAGGCTGTGCCGGGACCCTTCTCCGGCGTCCTCTCCTCCTTCCATCGGAAACCAAACGGCATCAAGACAAACCTCTTCTGATCGCTGCGCCACCGGATCCGGCTGCCCCTCAAACCCCCCATGGCCCCCGCCCTGCACCCTCCACCCACCGCCCCCACCGCGGACCCGGCCAGGATGCTTCCAGCAAACGGGGAGAGGGAGCAGGGAGCGCCCCCCGGCTCCTCCCGGACCCTGCGCTGATGGGACGGACCCGGAGTGGGGGCAGCTCCCCCCGACACCCGTGGGTGCTGCGGGACCGTGGGGGTGCGAGGCGGGGGACACCAGCCCCCTGCTCAGCCAGCGTGCCCCTGGCAGAGCCTCTGGGGCCTCTGGGGGCACTCCAGGGTTGGGGGCAGATGTGGCGCTCCCCACAGCGCTGCGGGTGCTCCAGCATCGCCCCAGGAGACGCCCTCCTCAATGGTCCGTGCCGCTGGGCTGGGGGCGAGCAAGCACTTTATGGGGGGGGTTCTGAGCTGGAGACTCCGGTATGGAGACTCCCCTTGGTGTGGGGAGGGGCTGATTTCCCCCAGATCCTGCCTGCCGACATGGATTGTCCCCGAGCACCCTGGCAGGAAGAAGACATACACCCCACCCCTCACTCCCGAAGACTTTGGGGAGTAAATGCAGGGCTGGGAGGTTCAGCACTCACCTGCATTGCTGCAGGCGTTGCCAATGGGGACAGGGCACCACAACGCTGGGGTTGAGGTGGTCCCCGAGGGGGCTGCTGTGGGATGGACCCCCTGGAGCAGCCGGTGGGATGCCTGGGAGCAGCCATGAGCCCTTGCCAGCAGCAGACTGGGTGCTCCCGCTGGAGCTGGCACGGGTGCAGCTGGAACCACCCCCCGACACCCCCGTGATCTCCAAAGGGTTCCCAAAGCTGGGGTGGTGCCGGCTGCTGTGCTGGTGGGCTTCATGGCATAGTGAGGATGCTGGCAGCCCATCCATGTGTCCCTGTTCCCCCTGTGTCCCTCCCAGCCCCCCCCTCCCCCCAAGTGGATTCCCTACTTTTCTTTCGTTTTTTGTTTTTTAACCATTCTGTAATTTATTACCCACGTTTGCAAATGCCACTAATCCAAATTAAACTTAATTTATTGACACTGCTGCTGGCCCTCAGCCCTTGCTGCACCCCACCCCCACCAAAGGGCTGTAGGGGGGGTTTGGGGTTTGCATGGTCCCCCACCCCTGAACCCTCTGAACCTCACCAGAACCCCTCGGGTGATGCCACAGACTCCCAGCACCTTAGGGATTATTTTAATCCCCTGATTTAACGACCCCAAGCAACTGCAGGAAGCTGAGGGGACACCCCACAGGAAGCCCCCTCAAGTGGGGTAAGGGGCGCCCCATACAGCCCCCCTGGCCTCTAGGGGTCCTTTGGGGGTGATGATGAAGAACGTCTTGGGGGCATTGGGATGGATCATGCCAGGCTATTGGGAGAGTGGTCTGTGATACCCAAGATGGGCAAGAAAGGGAGAAGGGACCAGTACAGCCAGCTTGGAGGGGTCACAGGTTATGCTGGGACCCAGTTCTTCCCCCTGGTTCCCCATCTTGCCCCCCTCCCCAGACCCTTCCCCGCCTCACCACACTGAGAGCTCCACCACACCTATTGCACGAACATGACAAAAATCACTCCAGATTTACCAAACACAAGAGCTGGGGGTTTAGTGAGGGGGGGGAAGTTCACACCAAACACCCCAGTAACAGAGGGGGGATGCTGGGGGATGCCAGGGGTGCCTGGCCCATCCTTCATCTCAGCCGGAGTAGGGGGTTGGGAGGTCTAGGGATAGCATCACCCCCATCCCCCCTGGGGACAGGGAGAGCCTGGAGGGGGCATCCCAGTGGGGAAGGCACAGTGGAAGCACCCCTGTCCTGGGGACCCCCACCCTGGGGACCCTCTTGGAAGGACACTTGGCAAGGCTGGGGGCTGAGCACCCACATGGAGACCTGGCTGCCAGTCCCGCTGTCCCCAAGGGCAACACAAATCCCCGGAGGGGGACAGACCCAGCAAGTACCTAATGGGCAAACTGGGTGGGGGTGGGGAGGATGCCCCGGAGGCACTGGTGGTGTGGGGTGGGCTCTAGGGGAAGGCACTGATCTGGCTCTGCTGTGGCAGGATTCCCAGGCTGGGGATGGGACTCCCAGCATGGGGACAGGCACACCCAGAGTAGGGATGGGGACCCTGCCACATGGGAATGGGACCCCCAAGGTGGGGACAAGAATCCTGGGGGTGGGGACAACACCCATGCAGGTGGGGACGGAATCCCCAGTATGGGGAAGATAGGAGCCCTGGGGACGGAATCTCTGGGTGGGATGGACCCTCAGGTTGGGGGTGGGATCCTTGGGGATGGGGGAAGTATCCCCAGGGTGGGAACAGGGACTCCTAGTGGGAAAACAATTCCCAGGGATGGGGACAGGACAGGGACAGGGACCCCTATGGTGGGGATGGGCTCCTCAGGAATGGTTACAGGGACTCCTGCGGTGTCCCCTGGAGATGGGGACAGGGACCCATGGGGTGAGGACAGGAGCCCCCAGGGGTGGGGACAGCACATCCAGGGCAGGGATGGGGATCATCAGGGTGGGGGTAGAACCCCTTGTGTGCAGATATGATGTCCAGAGTAGGGACAGGATCCTCTGGAGTTGGAACAGGGACCTACAGGAAGGGGATGGGACCCCTCAAGGGCGGTGACAGTCACCTCCTGGGTGGGGATGGGGGAATCTTCCAGGGTGGGAGTGGGACATCCATGCTGGGGACAGGAACCCTCAGGGGTCGGACAGGTGCCCTGGGGTGGGGACAGGGATGCCCAGGGAACTCTTACTAGTGGGGATGGGACCTTCAGGGTGGGGACCCTGAGCTGTGTCTAGTGTTGCCTACAGGGGCTGGCTGAGCCATCCCATCCCAACCCATCCCATCCCAAGCCATCCCAGGCATCATGAAGGCACTTGGGTCGAGATACGACTTTGCTCAGAGCCTCCTCCTCCTAGTTGTGAGGGGTCATGGGGGGAGCCAGGATCCCAAGGGTTACCCCCTAACACCTCTTCCTCCATCCCTTCTCCCAATAAATAAAAAAAATAACTTAAATGTGAGGGAACCCCGTAGGGATCCTCATGTGAAATTATCTGACCAGGACCCACCACCCCCCTGTCCCCCAACTCCCCCATCCCACCCCATTACCCTGCATCCAGGGTGGAGGGGTGGGCTGTGGGGGTTGTGGGGCTCCCACTTGCTGCTGGTGATGGTGGGATGAATGGATGTGGGATATGGGACTGTGGGATGAAGGATCCTCAGCTGCAGGATGCACATCCATGGGACCCAGGATATGTGGCCACAGGATGCTGGCCTGCAGACACACGGCCACAGGATCTGGGGGATCTGGGATGCATGGCCGCAGGATCTGGGATGCTCAGCTGCAGGATGCAGGGCCACAGGGTCCGGGATATGTGGCAGTAGGATGCAGAATGCACAGCCCTGGGATCCAGGATGTGCACCTGTGGGATGCAGGACACACAACTGCGAGGTCTGAGACGCAGGGCTGCAGGATCTGGGATGCTGGGCCATGGGATGCACGGGAGGCTGCATGTGTGGTGGCAGCTACTTGCGGAGCTGGAGGCTCTCCAGAAGGATGCACTTGTGGCCAGGCTCCAGTACTCCAGCCTCCTCCAGGTCCTCCTCTGTGATGTCACTGGGAATGAGACACAAATATGCGTCTCTCTGCACGCGAGGGGCACCCCAGACTCGGGCGGGGTCCCCACGTGGGGGCGGTAGAGCTCCCACTCAGGTTGCTGGGTGCCCACCCAGGCTCAATCCTATCCCTGCTGCGAGGTTTTGTGACCCTCAGGGGGCAGTGAGGAGCCCCAGAGGCAAAAGGCACGTGGGAGCACGGGGGACACTTTGGGGCAGCAGGGACCCCTGAGAGCAACGGCCCCCATGGGGCAGCACAGAACCTTTGGGGGCTGTGGGGACCCCCAGGGGAAGTGGAGATCCTCACTGGGCAGTGGGGAACCCCCAGGAACAGTGGGGACCATGAAGGGCAGAACCCAAACAGACCTCCCCAGAACCCAGGCATCACTACGATCCCGAGGAAGACATGGCCAGACTAGTGGGGGGAGTGGGTGGGGGGAGTGGGTGGGGGTCCCTCCCCCCATCCTGGGGGGCTGCTCACCTGAGGAACTCCAGGTCGTCCCAGCCGTTGCGCACCAGCCCCTCCTCGTACCGCTCCAGCCCCAGCGCCCGCAGCCACTCGCCCACGCCGGGCACGGTGCCCACACCACGGCCCAGCGCCTGCACCCCAACAGCCTCAGCACCACGGGGCACCCCAAAGGGAGCCCCACCTGGGGTGCTGAGGGCCCCCACCCACCCTGTATCACCCACCTCCTCAGCCAGGTCCTCCTGGATGCTCTCCTGGATGGAGTGGGGAGGGAAGGCAAGGGGGCGGCCATAGTCGGGGTGCAGGCAGCGGGGAGGCAGCCCCCCCTTGGCCAGCAGTGGCGGTGAGGGGGCCACCCTCCCCTTCCCACCCCCGTAGTCCACCTCACTCAGCGTCTTGGCCATCTGCAGCACCGAGCAGGAGCGGTCATCCAGCAGCCCTCCGGGCAGGCCCCCAGGAGGGGGCAGCCCCCCAACTGCAGGGAGCCCCCCGGTAACAGGCATCCCACCAGCCCCCTCCATCCCAAATCCAGCCCTGGCGGCTGGTGGTGGCCGGGGGTGCAGCTTGGGCAGGGGAGCCTCTCCGAAGGCAGCAGGGTGGGATTTCGGGTCCTCACACCCAGTGGACACTGTCAGCTCCTTGGGGGTGCCAAAGAAGGTGTTTGGGGGGAGCTCCAGCTCCCGTGGCAGCGGCGGTGGGGGAAAATCCGGCGGTGGCAGGTTGAGGGTGCCGAGCTCCTCTTCCTCATCGGTCTCGCCACCACAGCACGCTGAGGGGCACTGGCAGCGCTCCGGCACTGCCAGCTGCACCTTGGCCTTGGGGGGCTTGCCGGGGTCCCCCGGCACCAGCAGCTGGTGGGGGACACCCTCCAGCACGTAGTATGCTGGGTTGTTGAAGCTG